GCTTGAGTCGCCTAAATTTACTGGGAAGCGATCTAAATGGTTGAAGAGGAAGCGCATAACATCAGCGCATAACTCATAATGTTGGTATTATATTTTATATGATCGAAAATACTCATACTCACTAAATAATGTGATTCAAAAGATTAAAACGTGCTACAACTGGGCCAAATATCATACTACAAATCAACTATAGCACAATGAATAACATTAAAGAAGGGCACTCGTACATAAACATTTTTTTTTTTTAAATATGATTGCTTTAATTTATATAACTCACACATAATTAAAGCTATATCACTCGAAGTTGGTGGGAGCGTTTCTTCTAAGTATTTCTGTGACCACAGATCACCTGCTAGTGGACTGCACAACAGTCCGCCGACGCAGAGTTAAGGCCATGGGATCCATGTTTCCCAACAGGGATCGCCTCGCCTCACTATCACCTAGCAGTATATTGGATTTCATCAATATGCTGGGGCTAGATGAGTCGCTGTGCCCTAGGGGAGGGCACAATAGACCATAGGTCGCGGTGCAAACCTCCACCCTTATCTATTCTATTCTAAGTATTTCCGTATACACTGTGAGTGAAATTGCGTAATAACGACACAACCCATGTAAGGGTAGCCCACACTGTCATGTAAAGGTTATGTTGAAAACTACTAAAAGTGCGCTAATTCGTTAGTAAAAGTAAAACTAGTTAAAAATAATATGATCTGCTTCCGAAAATTTGTAAAATCTAGTCAGTGCTTCACCTAACTCTTATACATCTAATATACAAAAATTTCAAACTTTCGGTTGAGTTTATAATTGAGAATTTTAGAGAGCATCGTTTCCTAATAATAGCAAGTGTCTGGGGCTTCAAATGAATAAAATTGATTCAAAACTTCCTCTATCCCCCGTACAACTAACAAAAAACTGTTCAACCTTATGGCCGGCTTTATAAATACGTTATGTATCGGTTAATGTGTAATATTTACTAAGTGAACTTTGCTCTATAAGTATATAGTTTACAAATTGCTAGAGTGGAGTGGTGGCTTGGTCCTTCTTTACTTGTTTTTAAATAGTATTGTTTTTAATATATATAGCACAGATTTTCACTACCATTAAAAAATCAGGAAACACGTTAAAATATATTTAAATTCGCACTGATCTATCAAATGCCCAATAATAACTTCAAGGTCTGAGAGAGAGCAGAGCCGATTAAACAATTTTCCGTTGAGATGTCGGCTAGTCAAAGAGATAACGACCAACTGACTAATTTTACGAAGTATTTTGCACGTAATTTTTTCTTTATCTATGTATCGAAATGGTGTGCCAAATTATTTAATCAAATTCTAATTAAAATTTAAAATAAACTCATTATCTGTAATATAGCTTATCTATTGGTCAAATGAGAGCTTTGTAGTAAATAATTAAATAAAAAATTTTTCCATCACAAAACACAAGTGAATTATAATTGAAGAGCTTTAAATTGATTAGTTTAATAGATAAATAGAAGAAATATTAAAATCCATACAATTTCGGTTAAAACAGTTTAGATACGTCGCTGTCGATAAGTTCAGATACCTTTCGTGCGAAACTTTGCAGTTTGCAAAAATTGTAAACTTCCACACATTCCAAAAGCGTAGATAATAAATTCTGCCATAAGTTGATTTGTCTCTCGCTTCTAACGGGTGATCCGAGTAGAGGTACGTTTTCAATAGCCTATTTTTGACAGCTCACGCGTGAGTTTTGTCAAGCAGTCATTGTAATTTTGTTCAGCATTGTTTTTCACTTTATCGTAGAAAAACTGAAGCCTGAACAACGTTTACAAATTGTTCAACTTTATTACGAAAACTCGCTCTATCGACTCTTGAAAAGTTCCAAGAATTCGAGCCAAATTTTGTTCTGCGATGAGGCTCATTTCTGACTCAATGTGTGTGTAAATAAGCAAAATTGCAGCATTTGAGACAAAGAGCAACCTGAAGAGATTCAAGAGCTGCCATTTCATCCAGAAAGATTAACGGTTTGGTGTGGTTTGTGTCATCGGTCCATATTTTTTCAAAAATAATGCCGGTGAGAACGTAACCGTCAATGGTGATCGTTATCGCGCCATGATAATCGACTATTTGATGCCTGAAATTGAGGTTCGTGATCTCGACAACATTTGATTTCACAAATACGGCGCCACTTCCCACACATCGCATCAATCAGTGAATGGTTGCTCGATTGGCGATCAAACGTGTGATCACAATGTTAGACTTTTTCCTGTGGGAATATGTAAAGTCTAAAGTCTGTGCGGACAATCCATGGACCATCTGAGATGTAGCTAACATTTGAAAGAGATAATCTTCAAAATATAAATGCCAAATAATGTTTATTTGAATGATATGGAACATTCCCCATTAAATTCGTATTTTCTGTTTTCTTTTATTTTAAATAAGTAGGAAACCTCGAAATGGGTTACCGTTTAGTATGGCATTTTCCTTCAGGTCAGCATTACACAAAATTTTCTTAAGTAAAAACTTTTTCGCAGTTCTGTCAAATTTATAAAAATATGTTCGACTTCTAAATATATTTTTTGGAATATAGTCATTTGTATTAAACTTCTTTTATTTTTAAATTTCAAGAATTTTTTTTTTTTAATCCATATACTCTAACTATTTCTATAGCTTAGTTTAAACAAATATATGCATATTAAATAACGGAATTTGTTTTATTTTTTTTTGTAAACAAATGAGAGCTAATATAAATTTTATTTGTATAATCTTGCGTCATGGACACGCTTTTGCCACATGATCTCACTGGTGTAATAAACACAAAACAAAAAGCAATAGTGAGTTAGACGATTAATTGTTTTCGTAGGTAAAAGTTGATCGGTTAAAGAAATAAAGTTTTACCTTTTTTCTCTCGCAGGTGTTCTTATGTTTTCAAATGAAGATGGAGATAAACCCAAATATTTTATTAAAATGTATCATTAACTTATATAAATATGAGATAAATGATATTTCAATATTCTTAAGGCTTCCTTTTCATAATACGAAATAAATATCAGATGGACAATCCGAATCAGTCGGTTCAACGTCCTTCTGCACAATTCGGTCTCTCTTCGATGCCGACATAGTAAATTTTCCGCATTTGACTTTGCATCCATTAAAGATTGTGTTGGCACAACAACTGAAGCCTGTTGGAAAATGGTGGAAATAATGGAAGCCCATTTCTGGCTTAATGGCTTCCCAAATAAAAAAAGTTGTCGCTATTGGGGCAAGTTAGATCTTCTTGTTATTCAAGAAACGCAATTGCAGCCCCAAATATTAACCGTTTGTTAAAATCGACGCAGACGTTCTCTATTTCCAACAAGACGGTAGGCTGTCTCATGTTTCACGTCTAAACATGAACACATTGCGTCCAAAGTTTGGCGACTCGTAAGTTTCGAGAAATGGCCCAGTCAAATATCCTCCCTGATCATGCGATTTAACACCTAAAGATTACTTTCTCTGACAGCATTTTAAATCAAAGGTATGCATTCAGCGCGCGCACTAAAACCGAAATACCAGCCAAAACTCTACACCGGGGCAATTTCTTGTTGGTAGACCCTATATCGCAATAAACTGTTTGGTCGACAGTTTTCCAGGGAACGACTAAATTAGACTGAGCCATACATACATACGAGCGGCAGAATTCTTGTATGGCAGCAGAACCTCTCTGTAAATATAAATTTTGTATATATATATTTATGTTATTGTCATAATAATTTCTCAGACTTTATGAAACTGATGATGATCTCAAACTACATTGAGAGAGCTGGTGTCCCCTTTCCTTAGAGATGACAAATTTGTGAGGTTATCTTACCATTTCTTGACGTTTCGGAAATTGTCTTAATAGATGCCTATAGCTTTTATTGAGAAAATAAATAACAGTCTCGACTTAAGCCAATGGTGCTTTTTTGGTTACAGTATAAGTATACAAATGACATGCTTTAAAATAAAAGCATAAACATTCTTTATTTTCGTGAAGCCGCACACCATTGTACTGAATACTTCACCTTTGCTGTATTCATAGTTGCCAGAGACGCAATCTTTGTACTCTATTATGAGCAGAGGTACCTCAAGTAAATTTGTATTTACGACCACACCGCTTGCGCCGGTTTTTCTTTCCTTACTCGCTAATTTTATGAAACGGGTTATCACTGCTTGTGCCAATTACAGAATGGCCACTTCATTTTCGATCATGCCAAAATCGAAATCTACCTTGAAACTATGTGCTTTAGTGTGAAGTGTTGTCGGATGTCTGAACAGAGACGACGTAAGAATCTACAGGAATGGCTGCCGCACTTGCGCTGATGATGGTCACGAGATGCAAGAAAGCGTACGAAAATTACTTGGCCATCTTGAGAAATGTGCTTATTTATAATTTAAAGAGTATCATTCATCTTAAGGAGTGGGATGTGCGAAGAATGAACTCATAATTGCAATGACAAGAGCAGTTGTAAGTTTTTTTTCACATACAGAAAAATTATCATGTTTCATGCATCTAGTATGTATTTTCAGAATTCTTTTGTTTCAGTAAGTCGTCTTAATGATGAACAATTGCTGGACAAAAAGTATCCCTACTATTCAGTATAAATTTGTAAAAATTTACCGACTTATTCGAGTGTAAAATGTTAAAATAATACTCATTGCACAATTGGTTTGTGGTTTAATTAATCCAAGATCTCAACAACGGAGCATCGGTAAAAATTGCAGATCCGCAATTGCGCCAATCCAGAAAAAAGTGTTTTTATTTATTATTTACTATATTTCGTGCGAGGCAGTCTACCCGAAACTGACTATTACCATATTATACTACACATTGCTTTATAATCTCAAAACCGTTGGTACGTTTTACAAACTGTTTAGACAACTGTTAAATTAAAGACAAACAGTTAATTATTACATAAAACATTTACATTTAGTTTTGTGTATTTTGGCACTGGCTGGAAATTTTGGACAGGTTGTCTAGACATTATGTAAAAGTAAGTGTTGCCAAGCGAAAGTGGCCAAATAGATGGCGGTATTCTGTTGTGGCCCATATAGTGACTGTTCAGACTCACACACACAGACTTATAGACGAATATAAGTCGCGCACCATTAAACTTATCATATCGCTGACGAAGACACCGTTCATATGTAGATAACTCTAGTTTAAGTATAAAAGCACTGAAAAATTTACACCGTGCACAGTCGAACGATTTGCTTCAAGTGAAACATACGCAAAAATTACAAAATAGTTTATTTATTTTGCAAGATGAATCAATTATTCGTTTTCAGTTTTCTGTTGGCGATCGCATCGTCTTACGCAGCCGTAGTTCCTGCAGCATCCTATGTTGTTTCAATTCAAGGAAAGGACGATGGCGCCCCAATTTGTGGTGGTGTTCTCATTAATGAAAAAACCGTTCTGACCACTGCACAGTGCCTGGCCTCCTACGACATTGAGCAATTCGTTGTTTCTGTGAACAACGGCTCTCAAATCATTAAGATTGCAGCTCACACTTTCGATGCGGCATTCGATTTCGTTACTATGGAAAATAACATAGGCATTTTGAAATTGGCAAAATCAGCGAAGGCTAATGTCATTAAATTGGCTCAGGAACAACCAAAAACTGGTACTAGCGGTGTTATCTACAGTTGGTCTACCAACGGCATACTTAACAGGGTTGATGTTGAACTCATAAGCACGAGTGATTGCGCTTCTGGAGATTATGGCTGGAGTGAAGATGAAGTCTTGAAAACAATGGTGTGCGGATCGGTGAAGAACAGCAATACTTGCGTTGGTCGTTTTGGCAGTCCAGTAGTCTCTGACAACAAGTTGGTTGGTTTGACTTCATGGGGTGGTTGTGGCACCAACGGCCAAGCAGCTGTTTTCACCGATGTACCATCTCTACGCTCATGGATCAAGAGTAGCCTATAAACATAGGAGCAATAACTTTAGTAAATGCTTTTGTTGATATCTACAATAAAATATATTAATAATAAAGTATAATGATTTGAAATAATTTAATTTTTAATTTAATGCTGCTGAATGCTATAAAATGCAACGATGCTATAAAAGGGTTGAAAAGTCAAAACAGACCAAATTCTCACATTATTATCCAAAGATCCTAGTTCCAAAAAGGTAGTTATGCATCTTTCCCCTGCATAAACAACTTCATTTTACCTCTAGATAATTTATAGTTGTTTGTTAACTGTTTCTTAGAAAGCTTTTTCATTTCAGTGCGAACAAATATGATATTTCAATAAACAGTTCACTAAACTAACTTGAATATGGTAGTGATATTTACAATTCAGTAGTACAATAAATATGTTTAATTTTTATTTTTTTATTATGGTGAAAACTTTTTGCACGAAGTTTATTTGTACAGGTTGTCGTTACCTTATGTAACAGGTCACAATTTGTTTAGAAATAGAGTAACAAGAGCCAATTAAAAAAAAGTAAAACTCTGTAGAATTTTTTAGTAGAGACTTAGTCAGCTGCTCTTATTTTAATAAAGAACAGGGAAGGCTTCAACTTGAATGTACTGAGCAAAACATAGTTACTCCGAAGCCCTGAACCGAAGCTACTCAACCTGAAAATTAAGTATTGTTTTTGGCATGATAAATATTCATGCTTTTGTAATGGTCAACTGCACTGACTGCTTATTTATCGTTGAGACCAGCCGCTAAAACTTCTGATAATTTTTTTCTACATTGTCCTGGTACTTTCGCATTTGGTAACTGTCCTAAAAATTATCCATCTAACCGCCTGTAATATCAAAATATTTAGATTTATATTAGATATTCTGAATATCTTCACTAAGTACTCAATGCGCTGTCAATTATTATTCAGCATACATTTAGTCACTAGAAACTAGCAGGATGCAGATACTTGTTAAGTAAACCTACCAAACTACCGCGCTCCGGGGATGCTATCATAATATCCCTAGAAAAACACCTACACCATGAGAATGGGCTAACGTTATGTTTCCAGAATTAATGTTTTTCTCGCAATTACGTGCTCTATGTCCGCTCGAACCCACCTCTGCACACACCTGCTGAAAGCAGAACTAAGACACGTTCCTCATAAATGGCGTTCTAAGATTTAAGTCCCAATTTCAGATGCACACTTGTATGCATAACTGGCTTTAACAGAAGTGATAAATACTTATGTAATTTACGCACTTAAATCAAATACTACATTTGTTATTCGTTGGTTACAGCAATAATAACACACGCTTATTTATAATAAAACTTATCCATAAATTGAATTCAGTTTCAGCTTACGATATTTGTAAGCGGGAAACAACTGGGTTATTTGAGGGCCATTCGTACACTTCGTCTCCACTACTAATAGCTAAGTTCGCGATTACTTTGTTTACTGATCTATTTTCAAAAATTTTGGGGTAGAAAATAACTTAAGATTAAATGAAATTCTTTATGCTTGGGAAAGAATTGATCAACGACTCCGAACTATATTCTGTCTGCATAACTACTATTTTGGAACTAGGATCTTTGGATAATAATGTGAGAATTTGATCTGTTTTGACTTTTCAACCCTATTATAGCATTCAGCAGCATTAAATTAAAAATTAAATTATTTTTAATCATTATACTTTATTATTAATATAAATATCAACAAAAGCATTTACAAAAGTTATTGCTTCAAGTTTATCGGCTACTTTTGATCCATGAGCGTAGAGATGGTACATCGGTGAAAACAGCTGCTTGGCCGTTGGTGCCACAACCACCCCATGAAGTCAAACCAACCAACTTGTTGTCATCTGTTACTTCGTTCAGTTACGTATTGCTATTATTTAGTAGATCACATTCTTTTAGCAATGATTTTTAGGAACTCAATAGGTGTTGCAACGAAAGTGGCCAAATAGATAGGCGGTATTCTGTTGTGACCTATAGTGACTGTTCAGACTCTACACACACAGACTATAGACAGATATAAGTCGCGCACCATTAAACCTATCATATCGCTGACGAAGACACCGTTCATATGTAGATAACTCTACGTTAAGTATAAAAGCCTGAAAATTAACCGTGCAGTCGACGATTTGTTCAATTAAACATACGCAAATAATTACAAAATAGTTTCCATTTTGCAAGATGAATCACATATTCCGTTTTCGTTTTCTGCTTGGCGATCTGCATCGATCTACGCAGCCGACGTTCCTGCGGCATCCTATGTTGTTTCACAGTTGGGCAAAGGACGATGGACGCATAACCTGATTTGTGATGGTGTTCTCATGTAATGAAATAGTTCTGACCACTGCACGTGCCTGGCCTCCTCCGATAGTACTTCGTTGTTTCTGTGAACAACGGCTCTCAAATCAGATTGCAGCTCACCTTTCGATCGGCATTCGTTTCGTTACATGGAAATAACACAGCATTTGAAATTGGCAAATCAGCGAAGGCTAATAATCAAATTGCTGAAACACAAAAACTGGTGCAAGCGTGTTATCTCAGTTGGTCTACCAACGCATACTTAACAGGGTTGATTTGAACTCATAAGCACGAAGTGATTGCGCTCTGGAGATTGGCAGAGTGAAGATGAAGTCATGAAACAATGGTGTGCGGTGGTGAAGAAACAGCAATACTTGCGTTGGTCGTTTTGTGAGTCCAGTAGTCAGTGACAATA